TTGTCACTCCTGACCTATGCTGGTCTTACTGCTGCAGTTACCTTTGCAGATGCTGCTGCTGACGGATAGCATCGTTGATGTTGCTGCTGCAGCATCAATCCAGCTGCCCACTATGGTTATAACAAATATATGACACTGGTATTGCACTAGTCGTTAGCACCACTATTTTAGCTCACTCACTACATAATCATTTTTTTCGAAAGACACAGCCTCACTAGTTGACGGATCAGATCAAACTAAACGCGCGCTTTTCCTATTCAAAACCCTCGCGCGCGCCCTCTCTCTCCCAATTGTTCGCTTTCGCACCTCGAGTGCCGCAAAATCGCAAACGTATCGATATTTACATTCGATCACCGTTGCATAAATAATTATTGTTTTTAATATTTCAATTATTACTTAATAACTATTATTATTTAATAAAACAATACAAAATTTTTGGTAAATAATTGTGCAAGGGAGAGATAAGTAAATTAAAGAAAAAACGCTTGATTCAAAAAAATTATTATTTAATAAACTAGAACATTGTAAAATTCGTAGTAAAAACATAATGCAGGAGAAAGAGTAAGAAATAAATGGAAAAAACGGTTAATGACTATGATAGAATATAGTACCGGATATACGCTATTCAAAACAAAAGTGAGTAATGTGGGGACGGTCGCGCTGAGACTGAAAAAAGAAATTGAAAGGTTTTATTCGATTTCGAAAGGAACGAAAAAGCAATATATGATTTTCTTTCGATTTCTAGAAAATATTATATGGAAATAACGACACATATTTTTTTTATTTACAACCGTCCGCTTCTAGCATCGCTTCTATCATCAACTGAATCGACACATATGGAATTATCACGAAATATACGAGGTGTGATCAAAAAGTAAGGTGAATTTTGAAATTTAGCGGGCTACGTCCGTTCGATCTTCGACTTTTTTATTTGGTTATGTCGGTACACTCGTCTAGAACATACGTTCCAAATTTCAGCTTTGTAGTATGTTTGGTTTGTTTGTGAGAGGCATCAAGGTTAGAAGTGTTTTGCGTGCTCCACGATTTGCTGCTGTCTAAAAACATGGATCAAAGAGTTTGCATTAAATTTTGTGTGAAAAATGGAATCAAATGTTCCAAAACACTTGAAATGCTGAAAGTGGCATACGGTGAGTCTACTTTAAGCCAAAAAAATGTTTACAAGTGGTATAAACTCTTCCAAGAAGGCCGAGAAGACACCGACGACGAACCTCGTTCTGGACGCCCCAGCACATCAACAACTGATGAGAATGTTGAAGAAGTGAAGAAAATAGTGTTGGGAAATCGTCGAATTACCATTAGAGAAATTGCTGATGATATTGGCATCTCATTTGGTTCGTGCCAATCAATTTTGACGAGTGTTTTAGACATGAGACGTGTGTCAGCGAAGTTTGTTCCGAAATTGCTCAATTTCGACCAAAAGAAACGTCGCATGAGCATCGCCCAAGAGCTACTGAATGACATCAACGATGATCCAGATTTACTCAACAGGGTTATAACAGGTGACGAAACATGGGTATACGGTTATGACGTCGAGACTAAGACTCAATCGTCCCAGTGGAGGCATTCTGGATCACCAAGACCAAAAAAAGCACGCCAAGTTCGATCAAATATAAAGGTTTTGCTTACAGTTTTCTTTGACTGCAGGGACGTGGTGCATCATGAGTTCTTGCCACATGGTAGAACAGTAAATAAGGAATATTACCTGCAAGTTATGCGCAATTTGCGCGAAGCAATCCACCAGAAACGTCCGAATTTGTGGAAAAATAAAAATTGGCTTTTGCACCATGATAACGCCCCTGCTCACACATCGTTGCTTGTGCGCGAATTTTTGGCTAAAACCAACACAGTAACGATGCCACAGGCATCGTATTCCCCAGATCTGGCCCCCTGTGACTTCTTCTTGTTCCCAAAACTGAAGAGGCCCATGAAAGGACGGCGTTTTGCCACGATTGAAGAGATAAAGACGGCATCGAAGGGTGAACTAAACAAGATCACAAAAAATGATTTTTTGAAATGCTTTGAGGATTGGAAAAAGCGTTGGCACAAGTGCATTATATCCGAGGAGGATTACTTTGAAGGAGATAAAAAAAAATTGATGAATAAATAAATATTTTTTGAGAAAAATAAAAATTCACCTTACTTTTTGATCACACCTCGTATAAGTATTCATTATCAATTTAACTTTTACATATATCAAGCATTTTTATACTTTTTTACTTTTACATATATCAAGCATTTTTATACTTTTTTACTTTTACATATATCAAGCATTTTTATACTTTTCTACTTTTACAGATCTAACATTGAAATTGTATGCGAGGTACACGCACCGAGGCGCATCATAAATATTGATCTGGTAACGTCTCAAGTATTGTGTATCGACCCTGTCACATCTGAACACATCACCACATCGCATGTATGAAAATGAAGCTCCACCTCCTGACCCCAATAACCGACCGCATTGGGCCGAATTACCCACGTGTGCCGGTAGTCGAACAAGATACTGCATAAAGCGGGAACATCTTTTAATAGATATGTAATAATAAATAATTCTTTTATTTTGTTTATTGATTGTAATTAATTTCAATGTCTTTTTCTAGCAGGTATAGTAAGGCGGCTATTTAACAACGTCAGCGATTGCAGCCCACAGAAAAGAAGCAACGGGAGTACATCGCCGCTGCTCGTTTTCATCAAGATAAAGAAAATTTTATAAGAGTTCAACGAGACAACGGTGATGCTGTTCAACGAAGAAGATTGAATATAGTATTAGTTTGTAATTAGTAGTTTAATTTTTTAATTATTTAATTATAAAAAAATTTTAATAAACAGTTGAATTGTTAATAAATAACTTTAATACTTGTAGAATAAGATTTATTTTTTATCAATAAAAAAAATTTCAATTAAAATACAATATATTGTGACGGTAAACGTCAAATTAGCGCTAATAATCTAACTTAATTGCTGCCTGCGGGGGCAGCACCTACCGGGGAGACGAGAAATGTAACGAAGGAATTCGGCACGAGAGCAGACGGAACGCGCGCGATTGAAAATGAACCAGTGAGGGTTTAACCATCATTACGCTCGCCCGTGAATACGACACTAGCTACCGCCACACGAGTCGCGAGAATTGAATTCCGCAAGCAGAGCGACCGTACCAGAGCTGATTTTGAGCGACCGCTGTTACCGAGGTGCCGTGCAGCTACCAGGAGTGCAGACCGGAGCTAGCAGAAAAGCGTTGTGTCCCGTGACTTCGAAAGTGTGTGTGAGGTTTCGCCATCGAGGGCGAAACCACGTGCGCGCGAGTTCGCGACCGGCGACACGAATAAACAAACAGACCGCTTTCATGCAGTGCGACTTGTCACCGTCATCTTCGTGCGTCTGCCGAATAAAGGTAAGCTGGCTACCTTAATCTCGCGATCGCGATTGCATGCGTAATAATTGATTTTCCGCGCTCGAAGCGTGCATGTAATAGCTCTACGGACAAAGAGCAGCGAGCGTCCCGACACTGCATGTTGTTGTCGATCGAGCGCCGATGTAAACATAAACACGCGGGCCGACTCTAATGTAGCATTGAAAGATAATAAAGAGTGTTCGTACACGATATTAACAAGTACTTTCAGAGCGTTCTCTTCACTCCCGTAGATAGTTGGTTGACTGACACCTATTCCCTCTTGCTCTCCGACTTTCTTATTTGACATAGGTGATTGCGAGTACGTTTACGCGATCGGCTTAATAAAAATAATTAAACGGTAAGCAACCCCGTTATAATATATACTAAGTAATACCTCCCCCACCGTTTATTTAATTTAATTATCGATAATATGTGATTTTAGATCAAGTCTTAGATTAAAACGCTTTGCCTGTGTAGCTAATATAGACAGTAAGAACTATCAAGAGACAAGATCAGCCGTGGTTCAGTTGGTAGAACTCCGATCTGTGAATTCATAGGACACAAGTTCGATTCCCCGTAGTATCTGTTCATTTTTTTTTAAATTGGTTCAGCTAAATTTGCATTATATTATATATATAAATAAATTTTATCATACATACACATACATAAATAAATTATATTATATAAATAATTTCAATTCAATTAGATTAAATAAAAAAATTAATTAATTAAAACGCATTTTAGATTGGGCGAATTGGGGGGAGGGACGAGGGCTCTCGCGCGTGTTCTAAGAGTGCTGATCTGATAGCTCATGCACTTGAAATCACTGATCTGAGCACGCCCCTGATCTGAAGCCCCCTGATCTGTGGCCTTTCTAGTTTACTTACAGACACAGTAACTCCTACTAACATTCTATTATCGGAATCTAAGCTATTATTCATGGAAAAACGCGTCATCTTTCTGTATGAAAACTATATCAATAAAGTATTGCCTAACTCTGAACTTATTGCTTATAAAAATACCTTGAGGATTTTCAATAAAACTCATCACAAACTTAGCAAGCTTCAGAATAGTTACTCATTCGTTTACTCATTAAATATATTAAAAGCTCTAACTTTTATAATGATTTAGTGCGCATTTGCAACAGATATGATATTTATCTATATAATCATGTAACTCTCTTCAATAGTATCAATGTACTAAATCCGGTCCCACGATTAATAAATTAGAAGAACGCAATATATTACTAGCAAAATAATCCTGTCTCTAGGTTAAAATTGTAAAAAAAAGTTCTTAATGCGAGACAGTTTGTCGCTTTGCAAAATCTCAGTTTCTTTAAAATTCAGCTGTGCATTACTTATTTCGTGTTAAGAAAAAATATATTAGCCGAAAAAGCGTCATTACTGATAATTTTTTCTATTTTCTTAAAGAAGAAAAAATTTAGGTGTAATTTTAAACGGGAAGTTTTATTTATAGTCGTTAAAAAGCTTTTCTTTTATATCTTGATTTGGACATGAACAGAAAGTTACCTTAGTGATTGCTTTTATATACGTAAAAAATTTATCAGCATAAAAGTAATACTACTTACGGTGAGAATGAATTATTTCCACTGGATTTATCAATACAGTTATAATATTGTTTGAACTCTTCATAGCACTTGGTTTTTATTTTTTTGAAAAACTCAAGAGCACATGCTGTAACTTGTTTTCCCTCAGTAAGACATTGGCGTGGATCATCTTCCTCAGTTTTACACAACATAAATTCCTAAAAAAAAGACGAGATTAGTTAATATATTCATGATCAATACAACGTCATAAATGTTATAATAAAATTATGCATTTATATAATATTACTCAAACTGAATTTTATTCTATTCTATAAACTTGAAAATGTATTAACATAAAAACTTGGATATTCGTTGTATATCTTATAGATAACACGAAAAAAAATGTTAACCTCGAAAGCAGGTCAGAACATATACTATTTACAATTAACTGCAAAAAAAATGATTTGCTTTCATATTTCTTTTCTAACTTTTTTCTATTGCTTCAATCGTAAAATAAAAATCACTGTACTTTGAATATTTTACAGTAAGTTAGTGTATTCCTATAATTTATTTGTAGCTTCCAGTCATAAGACTAAATCTGGTTCAAGTAGAATAAACTTACGAAGATATCAAGCATATTCTTACATTCAATTTTTTTCCAAATTAAATCAGAAAGCATTATAAAAATGTTGAAAATATACAATCGTCTAAGAAGTTAACTTCACGAAAGGTAGAATTGTTTGAAAGTGTTGTATAGCGATCTATTCGATCTAAACTCTAATGACTGGTAATAGAAATATTTTTATATTTGAAAAAGGAAACAAAATAAATGACTTTCAATTAACTTATATGCTTTATTAAATCAATTTCTTAAAATGTCCGTCATTTTGGAACTAACGAAAGTGTCTCTGACTCACTTCAGGCTTAGAAGAGATGATTACGCTGCAGCTAGTAAAATATGATCAATCTGTGACATAAATGATCGCTTTATTCATGATTTTCCCTCTGTAGGTTATCACTCAATGATTACGTGTACTATCATCTGACTGGATCGAGCGACGTTGAGGAAAACACTATGTACACGACGAAGGCATATGTGAAACTGGGTTGGGAATCTGAGGAGTAAGACAACAAGTTCAATTCATTGAACTCATTGTCAGATGCTTTCGAACCGAGCCACCGAACAACTAGCTATAGCTACTTGAAATCGGCTGAATGGAAAGCCAGTGAATGCAGTTGAGGTGTTTTGGGCTATGGGGAAGTTCTTAAGAGCAGCAGGGTCTGTCGCTCGGTAATTTCTTGAAAAGTTACAGAAGTACGTGCACTTCTATAATTTCCAAGAGAAGTATTCAAGATATTGGTGTTCACCGACCGTGTGGAGGTATGGCTTATCAACAATGATGGAGAGTGGGACTTCACGGACATTGAAGACAATTTCCGGCAACATTCTCCCGCCTATTATAAAGATTTGTACGATGAACTGCGCCGACGCACCCAGATCAAAGACAGTCGATCGTCAACTACATCATGACGTTCCAGTGCTTTATTTACTGAATATGCCCGCAATCATCAGTAACGAAATAATTGAAGCTGCTGATGCTCGGCTTGCATCTTTCGAACCGGAATCGCTTTGATGTCAAAATAGTGCGTAATCTGCGGTATTATGAGGATAAATTTTGAACGTCGTCAACACCAAGACTATAAATGACCTCTATCACTACTTGGAGAACATACTCATCCAGAACGCCGCGTACTAGGGAATAAAGTAAAAAAAGACAAACAATTACATTTACAAACGTATCCTATATTGAAGAACACGTTGTTATGTAAAGACGCACATTGGGGTTAGATGTCGACAGCGATTGAAAGAAATCGGCAGTTACGATTTATCGGAATTCGAAGAGGAATCAGTTATAAGCGTAATGAACGTTTCGGTACCATCGTTAAACGCGCTGCCTCCCCAGTCCAGCGCGTTGTGACAAATGCGCTCGCTGTGACATCGGTTATCGTGGTAGATGTCAGCGATAAATAACCAACAATAGTACGCGAATAACAATGCACAAACAGATGGTAACCAGAATAGCGAAAACTGTCAAGGAAAATAATATCGATACTGGAAGGCTGTTGTCCCAGCTGAATGCATGCAGTTAATAACGATTAATAACGTCGGCATGTGTTACCGTTCTCAGCAGCTGGATCACTGTGCGAATGATTGCCAGCAGTTCAATGGTAACGTACAGTAACGAAACTGGAATGCGCCGAACTGCATGTTCAAAACGTGCTTAAATTATGAGCTGATTTGCGTGGTGACAGAAAACGGGGTTGCCAGGATCAGCATATCCCATAACTGAACTCCTCTTAGAGCCAGCAAAGGCAAACACTGCAGCGGAAAGAAATCCTGGACGTGATGATAAAACTTTGACATTGTCGACTAAAAGCGAGAGCGTTGATGGGGTTTGGTGCGATACGTGGATCAAATTGGAAATATTAGAAGTAACGAAAAATAGAGCTGGCCCTAACCGAGACTCAAAGTGAAGAAATAGCAAGGCCGACCTTGCGACGGGAAGAACAAAATTCAAGAGTGGCATCGAGAGGTGGTACCGGCATTGAGTTGGGGTGCATGTGACTAAGGATACCAGCTTGTTACGAGTAATCAGAAGGGCGCTCAGCTAAGAGATGCGATGGATCACCGAGTAACGACACCCACAAGTTCAAGGGATCTATCGAGCAGCTTGGAATTTGCGAGTGGTTTATTACCGTCTGTTTCTATGTTGGCAAGAGACCGTGATACGTCCAAAGCCGCAACAAACTCTCTAACCAGCAATAAGTGAATAGGGATTAAGTTGCAATCCTCTCAATTACAGTTAGGAAACGAGTCAGTTTGTGCTAATATTTCCGTGAATTCCAAGAATGCAAGGTGTGGGACGGTGGCATGCGAAGATCGGTGTACGGTAGTCAAGAATCATTGTCGATTTCAGCGCCAAACTTTATATCAATTGAGTCGCTGTATCACACGAGTTTAGGTATAAAATTTAGGAAGCGTTAGCAAATGTGCAAGGATTCTAGGCTAGCATATTGTAAGGCTACTGCGGTTGTCAATCGAAATTGATACAGTAGTACGAAACATACAGGCGTACGGCTGCGATCGCGCCCTGAAGTACAACGTGTTGCTTGGCCAATATTTTATTTGCGCTTCATTCAGGAGAAGTACAAATGCCGTGAACAGCCGATAACGGAACGAAAAGCGGGCCGATTGGCACACATTCACGTAAAAGAAGAGCAATCGAGTCATCTTACCTGCCGGATCAGACTACTGGGTGGTAAAGCTAGTGGCAGAGATGGCGGGACTATCAGTCCTGCAAGATCAAGAATGGTAACGAATAGAAGCTTTATTGAAAAAAAATGGTACCAAAGGAATCCCTAGCGTGGACACATCTTATTAAATACGTCATTGATCTTCAGCATACGAAATCAGTTAAAAACTCGATGCGCTGCTACTTACCATAGACAACCATGTTTATTCGAAAGGAGATATCGGATTGATACGCAAAAGAATTAATTTAGCCGTCGCATAGTCAGTGCATAGTTGCATAGCAAGCAACAAGTATACTATTTGTTGATTTTTTTATCAAAATCACAGATCTTTCGAACAGAAAAAGATAGAGAATGATCCAAACAACATTGAAAAGATAAATAAGTGCACTTAAAAAAAAATACTACAGTTATGATTATCTAATCGTCAGAATACTAAAATGAAAGTCAAAGTCGTGAATTTTAGCAAAAAATGTCTTTTCATTAAATTTACTTCTTGTCGAAGTATGCTTTGAGTTTTTATAATGTATTTTCTTGTAGCATTTGGAACAAGAAATCTAAATCTGGTATTTGAAATTAGGTAAAAGTCATTGGCCTATGAAAAAAACGCATTTCAAATTCAAAATTACTGTAATTCTCACAGTTTTCGCTACTTTTCAGATAGATTTTCAATTATTCATTTTAGAATCTGAAATAATAATTCAAAACAATTCGAAGTATAATATTGTTATAAAATAATTAATACATTATATTGCCTAAATATATGCACGACTCAATATTTGTAAAATTATTGAATGCAGAAAAATATTGAAACAAACGAATTTAATTTTCCACCATCATACTAATACATCAATACCCTATTAACAGGTTAGTCTTTATATTTTTCAATATACGGATGAGTCATTGTAATCTATAGACCTGAATATATTTCAAACTACAGTATCTACAAAAAAAAATAAGTCAGATAAAAATTAACCAGAACAGAAAGGGTCATTAATTGTATTATTTGTTTTGACGTGAAGGTCAATTTTTGAAGGTTATTTCAAGATATCGATAGTTATCTTTTAAAAAGGACATACTATTTTTGACTAAGAATTTCGAAAAAGCGGAAAATTTTACATCAACTTGTCTTATGGACAAATATTTTTTCCGACCTCGGAAAGGTGAAAGATGAAAGTAAAATATAAAACTGATAATTTAGAGCTCTTAAAATTCTAATAATCAGTCTTTGTAGTATACCTAATTTCTTTTCAATCTGGCAAGTACTATCATAAGAATTATAATGGACTTTGGCTAAAATAGTTACAGTTCGCTCATTTTTTTCATCATATTTATGACGTTGATGTTGACGAATAAAATATCCATTGTGAGCTCTTTGGAATAAACTACGTACTGTCATATTAATTGGATGTCCCTTTTCAAGCAAAGGATAAGTATAAAATCTTTCTGCTGCATCGTAATTGCTATGATACTTCCGGCTATAATACCGTAAAACTAATATATCAACAATCTGATTAGAACTATACACAGTCATTCTAGAAAAGTAACAATAATAAAAACAAGGAACAAAATTTTATTATAACAATAGTTATAAAACTTGAATCAAACGCAATCGTTTAGTTTTTTGCAATTGTTAATTATTAGCAAACTGCATATAAGAATTTTCAAGTTATATCTACTCTGTGATATAATTCACACGAGAATTTTCAAATTATATTCAATGTGTAAAAAAATTCAATAAACTTTTAACAATTTTCTAATGTGTAACGGGGGAGATAAATCTGAAAATGGGAAATTTATTTAAGAACAATCTCACACGATGCAGAGCAAACCGCCGCTCCGTTAAAAACGTATGATAATACGTGTATTCGCATTAACGTCAGATGATTTATCCTAAATGTCTTCT